TTAAGGAAACTTGAAAAGAGCTTTATGTATGTTCCATAAATCAGTATACACATTTAAGAAAGCTTGTACAAATACATATAGTTGGCCCATTTATACACATCCACCAGCTATTCGTACAACACAATTATTTTCCATTTTTTATCTGTCACAGAGTGTATTTGTTTAACAAAATACAAAACACTGCTGGCAATGAGCTAATTTCACAGAAAAAGTGAAAGGTCCACTAACTTCATTTATAGATGGTCACTTCAATGCCATACACATGCCATTTAAACCTTCTCTATGAACTTTTTACACACTAGTTGAAAATATCCACCTGGGAAAGGGTTAAATAAATTTATTTTACTTGCTAAATTCATATCATGAAATGTGCAAGAAGGCTGAGAGAGCTCATGAAAATCACATGTAGAAGGTTCAGTCTCCCAAATGGGACTTCACCCCAAAATTAAGGAATAGAGAAATGTCTGCTTATTAAATAAGCTGAATTTTATTCTGAGCATTCATGAGATTTAAATATCTAATATAAGCAAATTATTTGATTAGGATCAAATGAAACTTTATGAAACTAAGTGGGATCCAATTCATAATATTAAAATGAACATACAAAAGAATCATGTTATTTATGAAACAAAATTAAAATTATCCAGCACGCACAGCCTGTCCATGGCACAGTTGGGTTAGAAGTGAAGTCTACCTGATTCCAGAGGCCAGTTTCTGAACCACTGGAGCATGCACCATACACGGCTTCATTTATGTATGGAGCTGCAGACACAAACACATTCCAGGTATGTACATAATTGGCCAAGTGCTCTATGGCACAGTAATTAGGTGTTGCCTCTTGCTGTGTCTCTCTGCTTTATTCCCTTAGCTTTTTTGAATGTCATGGTACTTAGAGGACAATCTTAATGAAGCATACTGCCCATGTGGCCAGCATGAAGGACTAGCCTGGGTAACTGCCTCAGAACCGTCTAGCTTCTCACTCCTGTCCTCCACATTTCCATCTTTCTGATCAGAATCTGGCCTCTGCTTTTGGTAAGCCCTTAGACCAACTGGCAACATGGTCTAGTGGTCAAATTTCTAGACTCAGGAACCAGACTGCTTGGTTTGAATCTTGGCTCCTGCCACTGTGTTGCACACTTGAATTCATTGTTTAACCTTGGTGCTGCACAGCCTTCATCTGTAAGATGGCAATAACAGTACCCACATTGGAGTATTGCTGGGATGATTAAATAAGTTCCTGTAGTTAATGTTCTTAGAACAGTGTGTGATACAGAATAAAGGCTGTAAAAGTGCTAGAAACTACTATTCTTGAATTCAGCCTCTTGCTAGAAGGCTAGGAGGCTTCTTCAATCTTAGAAGATTTACTCCTTTCTCTGCTCTAGTCCCAACAGATCTGTACAGCCTCTATATAGTCTACTTCCCTGCAGGGGCAGTAAATCCAGACACAGTAAATTGTGTCTTATGTAATCTCCACAGCAAACTGTAATTTAACTGCCACTTTGAAAGTAGACCCTAACTTTTAAGGAGAACCATATTCATTTATTCATCCAACAAATATTTAGTGGATCCCTCCTATGTATTACCAGGGCTACGTCATACAACAAAAAATAAGTAAAGCAAGAAAAACTGACTAGAAGGTAAAATACAAATTAGCAATTTTTCTTTAGCAACCTAATATAAACACTTTCCAGAAATTACACAGCCACAATAAACAATGAACTATGTTGCTGTTTAAGAGCCATTTGGATGCCAGTCAGTTATGCTGACAGACAAGAATGTTTCAGTTATATAATTCTGGCTAGAGGCCAGTTATCATTCAGTTTAAGCATCTAGTCCCAGTGACAGGATATGAGGAACAGCTGAATTGAGAAAATGCAGATATGGATAACAGGACTGTCACTTGGATCTGACAAATATTGAGGTGGCAGTAATGTAATTTTAAGCCTTCAAAAATAATCTGTAAAACTATGTGATGGGGTGGGGGGAGGGTGGGATGGAACTGGGGGAAACAGATTTAATTAAGAAACTGTAAGCCAGGAAATGTAAAAAGTTAATGGTAATTCACCCACTTTGTCTATTTGCAGCATTCAAAATACTAAGCTTCCTGGACCAGCCTGAAGGGATAGCTTTTAAGGCTCTTCCATCCCATGTTGCCATGAGCAACATTAAATACATCCTCTCCTCTGCTCTGTTAATATAAGCACCACTGTCATCCCTTTAGTAGGTGAAGAAACTGAGACTCACATTTTAGGGCACTGTGCAAAGAAGTTAGTCAATTTTGGACTCCAGTGTGCTTGGCTGCCTTTAAAGTTTATCAATTCTTGCAAGTTTAACAGTTTGAATGAGCCATATTTTCTACATTCCTTGATCATTCACTATAACATTTAAACTTTAATGCTCCATTTGAGTAACCTACAGCACCTGACGCTCAGAACATTTTCACTTATTCCCAGAAGCAGTACATGTCAAAGATGTAATAAGAGTTGACACAAGGATGCCTCATTAATCTCTAATACAAACAGAAATTTCTCTGATTCTCTGAAAGCATTTTATAACTGCTTTGAGGTTGAAACTCTCTCTAACCCCCTTGTTACAAAATTATTTATGGGTAGAAATTAGGTATGCAGCCCTCAATGTGAAATCTTAATTATTACCCTTTCAGCTGATTTTTGTGTCCTTGGATGAGGTATACATTAGAATTATAGCTGAATAAATTCAAATAAAGGCTACCCAATTGAACACAGCTGTCCTGTCCTGTGGTTTAGAAGTGAATTCCTAGCACCAGATCCACTTGTCATTTCTCCATATCCACTCTTATTTCAAAGGAGCAAAAAAAGAACAGACACAGAGAGAAAAATAAAAACAACCTTAGTTCACTATTATCCTTCAGCTACTGAAGGCTACACTACTAGTATGTTTTCTTATGAAGATAGGGCCATGTTCTTTCTATGCCCCAAGGCCTAGCTCTGTGATTAACACAGTGGGGCTTGTAAATGGTTGCTGAATGGAACAGAATTTGGGGGCTTAATCTGCTTTCAAATATTTTTTACACATATTCAAACAAAGGTTCATTTCATTGTTTAATCATTGCATTCACTCCTTAAGGAAGAGCACGCTGAAGATACTTTGGCCAACAGCAAGATTAAAACAATGAACCCTGAAATGTGACTTCTGAGATCTCCCTTATTTAACAGAAGGTCCTAAAGCCAGAGACAAGGCCGCCTGACTATGTCGGGTCAGTCTGAGGGCTCTGCTCTCTGGCCTCCAGCCTCACTACCACCCCACCTGGCCACATCTAGCACCTGTTTAACATTACATGGGGAAGGAAGAGTAATTATAAGTAGAGACAAGAATTAATTTGTCAGGGAAAGCCAAATAAGCAAATTAAGAAATACCTAAAGTTTAAAAGTAGGTTAGATTTTATAACCCAAGGCAAGTTGCAATCTGTTCTCCAGAAAATAGCTATGAATGAAAAAAAAATCTGTATTTTCTGGACCTATTTAGAGGACAGACTCCAACACCCATTTTTTAGGGGAGGGATGAAAGCCTAGGCTCTAGCCCTTGGTTGAAGATATGCTTCACAGCTCACTAGATGGGCGATCAATGAGCTGTGAATGTTCAACTTTTCTGAGTTTCAAGGCCTCCTACATAAAAGGGGGCTGATGTAAAAGGGGATCTGGTTTAGGGTTGTTGTAAGGGAAAAATAAGATGATTTGACCAGTGCCAACACTCAGTGGGCAATTAATCATTGAGACAGTTTCTCTGACCACTCATACTATTACTATTATTACAACAGTAGTCTAATCACAGTAAAAGGGGATCAGTCAATACTTGACTCACTGATATTTGTTGTACCAGCTTTTTCTGTTTATAGTCTCCTTCAGCAGAGCATACTCTGCTGTTAACGAAAATAGGGATCTGATCATTGTGGTCTTCCCTGGTTCAATATGGACAACCAGACTGTATCAGTAAGTCAGGAGAATGAGGCAGGATTGTGGCTCCTTTTGAATTTACCTGTGTCTCAAAACTAAGCACTTCTGTTAAAGCAATATAACAGTATTGTCTCCTCAGTATATAAAAGTACCATCAGGGCAGTATCCAGTTCTCAGAGATTCTGTATTGAAGGGCAGCTAAGCAGGTGACACCACTAACTGTGAGTGGTTTAAATACCCTGGGGCATGTCAACTGATTGGGATTTGCACTTAGTTACTGCTATTTTCTTAGTATCATTTTGAATCATCTAATCTGGATTTGAATCCTAGCTCTGCCAGTCTCCCTTGATCACATTTCTGAACCTCTCTTTTCTCATTTGCAAGACATAGACAAAAACAACAGAAGGAACCTCATAGGGCTATTGTGAAGGAAAAATGAAATGACTGATAAGGCACTTAGCAAAGTGCTTTGATCAATATTAACTGTTGTTGCTATTTTATTCTTTTCCTGTGGGCTACCCAAAATTCTAGTATTCAAATCTGTGCAGGGAACATACCCAAAGTATCCTGTTAACTGTAGAAAAGAGGGAGTCTGAAAGAGCATTTACATGGGGCAGCACCATGATTAAAACTCAACTCACACTGGCTGCAGTGTGATAATGACCAGTATGTACTGAGCACTCACTGTGTGCAGACCTCCATGAAGCAAGTTACATGCATGGCATTTGTCATGAAGAGGAGTAGGGGGAGGCCAGAGGTGAGGAGTTCAATTTAGAGTGGAAGAAAAGGTAAGGAGCACTTTAATCCATGCATGTAACAAAGAGAGAAGCAGGCCCAAGAAACTTGGCAGATAACCCCATGGAACTCGAGTGGCCAGATAGATGGCAGTGCATGTGTGTGTACAACTATGTGCCCTGACTGGAGCTGAGTAAGTGACCCCAAACGCAGGCTTCCCTTCTCAAAGGGATCATTTTGAGAACTACCACTTGATGGTGCTGAGATAATGATCTACCATCTGATAAAAATGAATTATTGAGCATTTAGAAGTAAAGAAATAAAACAACTGACCTCAAAACATTTTTCTTTCTTGGCCTGGTGAAGCAGGCTAGCTATTCCAGGAAGCAGAATTGGAAAAATGAATGTTTCCAAATATTCTTTGGGAGAGCCTAAAACAAACAAAAAGATTCCTACTAAAAATCCCAAATAACTGTCAAGGTCACAGGCATCAATTCAACACCAACAGAAATTCCCAATTTGGGGTGCTGTGAAGAAGGAAATTTTATTCATTGCAAAAGAGCTCAATTGTGATACAGTACAGCTGTGAAAACAGCACACAAAGCTGTGCAGTAGCCCTGGGGTTAGACCCCTCTATAGCTAGACAGCTCTGTCCTGCTTTGCTCTGTGTCAGTGTACTTTGTGCTGCACTGATCTCCACTGTGCTCTGCTAAGACTCCTTCCCTGTTTCATTTCAGCTGGCGAAACTCAGTCCAGTCTTCTGTGGAAAGGAAAAGTGTGCTCGTACAACTAGGACTTAGATAAATAGAAGTCCTTAACCCTGATCCCCGATTGGTCTGTCCCCATGCAAATGAAGACTCCAAATCCTTGCCATTTGATTGGTCCAAAAGGTACTGTTCTGATTGCTCAAAATGAAGTCAACTTTGGTTGGTGAAGATGTTGATGGAGTGGGGGAATACAGCTGCACAGCTCCTATTGAGTGTGGAAAGCCTAAGTCCTATTGGCTGAAATAGGATTCTGGAACTCTTTTATAAGGGCTGGCTCAAATAACAGAAGCATAGTGCAGTGCAGACAAGCAGTTCAGTGTAGACTTCTCCCTGAAGCACAGTTTGCATGAGAGGCCCCCATGTAGAAATGGCTCCTAGGCTGTTTTTTGTGTTTTGTTTTAAGAATTTAAGTCCAGTTAGCCACCAAAAGCCCTTCTTAGTGTCTTTTTCTCAGGGCTCACATGGCAGGCCTAGTTAATCTGGGAGAAATGTTTGCTTCTGAACAAAACAAAACAAAAAACCCAAAACCCAAAAACAAAAAAAACTGTCCACAAAATAACATGATCTTAAATATTACTGGAGCCTGCTGAGTTAGGCTGTGTTGTATTACTAAAGAAACTTAAAGTACATTTGCACCTTTGGAGTCTAGTGAGGATATAGGTCAGGTGCTATGCAGCCACAGGCATAGCAAGGTTAATGTGACTGAAGGAAAATGAGCAAGGAGAGTGGGGTAGGAACTGAAGTCAGAGAGGAATAGGGTCAGGGTATAGTGGATACAGCCTCATGATGACAGTAATGATATCACCGGTTGCCAGGGTCCAAAGTACACTAGCAGAAAGAAGAGAACAAACTGGGATAGGCCTTGGCACCAGGAAGTTATAGAGGAACCAAGGCTCAGGCAGAAAGGCTTAGGAAGCACACATCTCTGACTTGAACCCACAAAACAGGGCAGCATTGTATTTTCTTCTACTTTTTACATTTTTGCCCCTTTCTATTTAATGCAGAATCAGAGTATGCATGTTACTTATCATTATTATTATATTTCAACCTTAAAGATAAATCAATGGAATAAAGGCTACTCCTTTTAAAAAATAAGATTAAAATTAAAAGAACACATTTTTTTAAAGATTTTATTTATTTATTTTTTAGAGGGGGAAGGGAGAAAGAGAAAGAGAAAGAGAGGGAGAGAAACATTGATGTGTGGCTGCCTCTCATGTGCCCCTTACTGGGGACCTGGCCCACAACCCAGGCATGTGTCCTGACTGGGAATCAAACTGGCAACCCTTTGATTCGCAGGCCAGCACTCAACCACTGAGCCACACCAGCCAGGGCAAGAACACATACTTTATGTGGTCTCTTTGAGGTCTGTTTGTCCACCCGAGCTCCTACCCTGTGGTTTTGCAATGTTACAAACTCCAAACTATGAAAAGTGAAACCTTCTTTACTTACATGTTTTTGGATCAACTGTTTCTTGAGTGCAGGGTATATGTGAATTCATGGTCAAATGAGGAACTGAATAAAGGTGTTCTGTATTGAAGCCATGGAAAACTGTTTCTTCCATTGGTGAAACCTGGTGGAGGTGGGGTAAAGAATAAATTCCTATAAATAGTTTAAATAATTGCATTTTCTTTTATAATCTAAAACAGAAATAAGATTCTGCATCAGACTTTAGATTCAAGGAGGCATACTGAGCATAGGTCTTTGTCTCTCTTCCCTCCTGTTACACATAAATGACAAACAAAGAATAAATCCCCAATAGACAGAATATGAAGACCAATAGAGAGAACACAAGAACTATCAGTGGAGGAGAGATTTGAAAACATTTCCAAAAAAAACAGGGATGATGAGCTTCTTATCAGGTAAGAGAGGGGCGAAGTGGCAGCCCAGAATCTACAGTGGGAAACTACGCCAGAAGACAGGAGTCCACCTTCCCACCAGAATTCCAAAGGGCTTCAATTCCTCAGAGGGTGAGAATGAAAAGGGAATGATAGCAAACAAGAAGGATTAAGGAAAAATCTGGCTGAGGCTCTACTGGCCTGCTGCCCACATTTCCCTTCCCCCTGCTCCTGCCCTCTTCAATATACATAAACTATGCTCACAGTGGCTCTTTCTATCCAGTTCTCCTTTCCAATGACTCTTCTGTAAACAAATTAAACAAATAGCCTTGGAAGGAGTATAACTACTCAGGGTGTCATGTTGGTGGCCAAAAGAAAAAAAAAATCCACCACTGATTTACTGATTTGGAGGTTGTGGACCCTGAAGAAAAGTCTTCCAGTGGTCAGTCACTCCCCATGAGCTCTGTAAGGTAAATGGAGACAGTATGGCATCCTCACCCAGGTGTCTGGGTACCTCAGGGAAGCTGTTTTCCCATAATCTTGAATGGGCCTGATAAGTTGTGTTCTCATAGCCTTGAGATTGGGTCTGATAAACTGTTCCCATAGCATTGAGTGGGCTCATATGCGTAGTATAAAGCTCTGTTGCATAAGATCTGTTGGCACCCTGCTGGCTTTTGTTGGCGTCCGCCCTGCCTGGTCTCAGGGAGCTGTAACACACCCCCCCCCCCCCAACCCGTGGCTAAGACTGAGTCAGAGACCTCTGGACCAGGAGACACTAAGGAGATAAGCTTATTTCCTTGGCAGGGGTGCTGCTTCTGCTCCTTGTCTGGCCCACAATGCTTGATCAGTTAGCCAATGACAGGTAAGTTTCCCCAAGCGGGGAATCATCTAAGACAGGCACAAACACACAGAGGCCCCAGGGAAGGACTTGGGGGGCTGTGGAAAAAAGGGTGATCAGCCTTCACCCCTCGGCTTTGACAAAGCCTGTGTCCTCATTCTGCCTGCGAGACATCCAAATCTCCTGGGTGCCTTTGTCTCATCTGCGGACTCAAGCCTGTGACAATAACAAGGGGTGTTGCAATCCACTGGGGACTTCAGACTCCCCAGGGTGATCAGACCTGAAAAAGGAATATGTAAAATCCTGTGAAACCTGCTTGCTGAGGATGCTTTTAATTAGATTATGAAGGCCCGGGCTGGAAATGAATTTAGCTCCTCCAGTTCTGTAGTTTTTTTAGGTGATAAGACCCCAACTCAGTGGGAGCCCTTTTTAGTTCTTTGAACATTATCTGTTGTTTGATCCTTACTGCCTGACAGTGATTGTTGAACTTTACCTGTATCCCTGTGCAAACTGAAACCCAATAAAAACCCTGTGAAAGGAAGGACTGGGGTACTCTCCTTTGAGAGAGTGGCCAGGCCGCTCTGAGGCACCCTCCCCTTGAGAGGGTAGCCAGGCTGTCCCTCTTCCTCCACACAGGACTCAGTAGTCCATGTGAATGTCTCATGTCTCATCCATGACAAAGCAGACACTGAGGGCCGGTGTCTGCATCAGGCTTTGTCTGTATTCTAGTTCTTAAGCAGATAGGGACTCCCTGCTGGGTGCCACGCAAGGAGACAGGTGACATGCAGTGTGCCATGCAGAGACATGCAGGGAGATGTGCAGGTTGCAGCGTGCATGGCTTGCCCACCTGTGAATAAAGGCATGTCAAGCATCATCACAGCTCCACACATTTTCTTCTGTCTGCTCAAATCTAGACTGGACCTGCCAGGTCTTAACTGGTTGCAACACAAGCTCCCAGTCAGTGTTTTTACTCATAGAATAGATCCATCCAGAAAACAAATCCACATGTATAAGAGTAGAAGAAAACCATATGAGCTTTGTAGAAAAATCCACTCAGGCACCCATTTTAAATTTTGAATAAGTAGTCAAAACTTCCTACATAGATAAAGAGCATCAACAGTATAAATGACAAAGACCAAGATCTACAAGGAAAAACTGACCCTGGAAGAAGCACAATAATACAGGGAAGGGAACTATGATTAGTATTTCCAGAAAAATTTGAGAAAACATTGCATCCATAAAGCAAGAACAGAATGCTATATAAAAAAGAACAATACAGTCCAAGACGGTTCTTAGACACAAGATTCTCTAACAGTAGCAACTGCAGTAACATACTGGAAAGCTAGTCTTATTAGAGTTTGGTTCCATCCCTGTGACCCTGCTAAAGTCCCTTCATCTCTCAGTCTAATTTGTTTTAAACTCCATTAAGTTTTTATTTTACTCCAAGTAGGCTGTCTGCGGGCCTCTCTTCCTGGCTGCCCTGTTCTTGACTGCCTTTCATTAATTTAGTTTTCTTCTCACCCATTGGACATGCACAGGGAAACCTGCTCTATCTGCAACTGTCCCCAAGGATCAAATGAGATCATCCAGGAGGCACTGTGAATTAATCAAGGATTATCTGATCCATTTAACAGATGTGGAAAATGAGGCTTAAAGAAGTTATGAGATGCCCTTTAAATCACACTGTTAGTAATAGAGACAGGACTGGCCCCATGTTTCTGGTTCTAGTTCCTGTGCCTTTCCTAATTCATGACCTTGTGTCATGTTCACCACCTATCAGTGCTGTTCTTTTATTTAAAAGCTTTTAATTTAGGTGGAGGTGGAGCAATACTCACAGTAATCACAGTTTCTGGTCTGATTTTATATTCCTCTGGAAAGGGAGGCAGCTCAGCTTCATACTCTAAAAGTGAAGGGGGAAAAATCTTCAATTCCATACTTCATTGCAGATTATGATGTAATTTTCTTTTCTCTAAATCAGGGGTATCAAACTCATTTTCACTGGGGGCCACATCAGCCTCGCAGTTGGGCCGAATGTAATTCTACGACTGTATAAATGTAACTACCCCTTAACTAGGGGCAAGGAGCTTTGTGCTGCCACTGGTTAGAAGCAAGGTGCCGGTCCAGATAAAACAAGGTGGAGAGCCAGATCCTGCCCTTGGGCCTTGTGTTTGCCATCTGTACTCTAAACAAAGTCTTAAATTTTATTTTGGTTGGTGGTTTATAGAAATGAAAAACAAGTGGCCATTACAGATTAATAATTAACATGAACTACCTTATTTACAATAAGAGGTAACTGCTCACTTGTTGAAGAGTCCAGGCTTTATGTATGAGTTTGACTTTCCCCAAGAGGGTACAATTGTAGATTTTGCCCTCTACAAGAGAATGAGAATGCCTACAGGAAGAATATGGTATACAGGGAGGAAAGGGAAAGAAAAGGAAGAAAAAGTGATGGCAGGGCACAATAAGAGACAGAGGGAAGATGAGCCATCTCAGGTAAGACTACCAGTTTGGGGTACATGACTGTAAAAGCATGTACACAAACCCTTGCTATTCAAAGTATGGCCCCAGAACCACCACCATCATCATTCCTGGCAAGTTAAAAATCTAACATCTCAGGCCCCACTGCAGACCTGAAAAACCTAAATCAGCACATGACTTGTACTTGTATTCACATAAACTTGGAGAAGACCTGCTGGAAGCACCTGCCGTTTCCTATCCTGGCTGCACATTAGAATCACCTGGGAGTTTTTTGAAACTACCCACATCTTGGACCAACTTAAGAAATTTTTATTTGATAGGTCTGGGGCAAGAGCCTGGGAATCAGTATTTTTAAAGTTCTCCAAGTGATTTTTAAACAATATATTTTATTGATTATGCTATTACAGTTGTTCCAGTTTCCTCCATTTATTCCCCTCTGCCCTGCACCCCTGCTCCCACCCACATACCCCATTAAGGTCATGTCCATGGGTCATACATATAAGTTCTTTGGCTTCTCTATTTCCTAAACTATTCTTGACCTTACCCTACTTTGTACCTACCATTTAGGCTTCTTATTCCTTGTACCTTCCCCTCACTCTCCTCCTGCCCCCTCCCCACTGATAACCCTCCATATGATCTCTATTTCTGTGAATCTGTTCATGTTCTAGCTGTTAGCTTAGTTAGTTTTCAGTGGTTTGTTTTTTTTGTTGTTGTTTTTTTTTTAGGTTCAGTGGTTGATAGTTGTGAGTTTGTTGTCATTTTACTATTTGTGTCTTTGATCTTCTTCTTTTTCTTATATAAGTCCCTTTAACATTTCACATAATAAAGACTTAGTGATAATGAACTCTTATAACTTGACCTTATCTGGGAAGTACTTTATCTGCCCTTCCATTCTAAATGATAGCTTTGCTGGATAGACTAATCTTGGATGTAGGTCCTTGCCTTTCACTGACTTCAAATATTTCTCTCAAGCCCTTTCTTCCCTGCAAGATTTCTTTTGAGAAATCAGTTGATAGTCTATGGGAACTCCTTTGTAGAAAAGTCCCCTTTTCTCTTGCTGCTTTTAAGATTCTCACCTTATCTTTAATCTTGGATAATGTAATTATGATGTGCCTTGTTGTGTACTTCCTTGGGTCCAACTACTTTGCGACTCTCGGAGCTTCCTGGACTTACTGGGAGTCTATTTCCTTTGCCAGACTGGGGAAGTTATCTTTCATTATGTTTTCAAATTGTTTTCAATTTCTTGTTCTTCCTCTTCTCTTTCTGGCGCCCCTATGATCCAGATGTTGGAACGCTTAAAGTTGTCCCAGCGGTTCCTCAGCTTCTCCTCATTTTTTTGAATTCTTGTTTCTTCATTCTGTTCTGCTTGGATGTTTATTCCTTCCTTCTGCTCCAAATCCTTGATTTGAGTCCTGGTTTCCTTCCCATCACTGTTGGTTCCCTGTACATTCCTCTTCATTTCACTTTTCATAGCCTTCACTTACTCCTCCATTTTGTGACCATACTCAGCCATTTCTGTGAGCATCCTAATTACCAGTGTTTTGAACTCTGCATCTGATAGGTTGGCTATCTCTTCATCACTTAATTCTATTTTTGGAGTTTTGCTATGTTCTTTCATTAAGGTCATTTTTTTTTTTTTTTTGGTCTCCTTGCCAGCTGTTAAGTTGTAAGGAGTGGAGTCTTAGTTATTCACTAGGGAGGAGCAACTCATATTGTTGCACTGTGGCACTATCTGTGGGGGAGGCATCTGAGAAAGAACAATGCCACTTGCTCAGCTCTCAGCTGGCTTATAGTCACTTCCTCCACTACCCACAAGCAAATTAGGCCCTTCTGGTTGCTGATTCCTGGGTGGATGGGTTTGTGTACATTCTAGGGCCCTGTGAGTCTCTCCAGCAAACTCTCCTGTGAGGTTGGGAGTTTCTCCCATTCCTCAACCCCCGTAAGTTTTTACTGCAGAGGTTTTGAAGCTTTATTTCCACATGCTGGAACCCTGGGTTGCACAGTCTGTCTCGCTCCCCAGTTGTTCTTCCTGGTTATCAACACGCAAATGTGGGACTGCCCACCCTGGTCCTCTATCTGCCACCTTCCTGCATATCCTTCCCACCCGGTCTGCCTGTTTCTCCCCCCTCACCTGTCTGAATGAGTATTTCTTCTTTAACTCCTTGGTTGTCAGACTTCCATACAGTTCGATTTTCTGGCAGTTCTGGTTCTTTTTTGTTTTTAAATTTGTTGTTGTCCTTCTTTCGGTTGTGCGAGGAGGCAAAGTATATCTACCTATGCCTCCATCTTGACCGGAAGTCTCTCCAAGTGATTCTAATATGCACTGAGGTAGAGTATGATTGCCAGGTTTCAAGACTAATCACAATTTGTTGGAGGTCTTCATGTAAAGAACATTCCATACAAGTCTGCAGGGTAACAACTATTGCTGAGGGAGGGACAGAAAATGCTCACAGTAATATTAATTATACTTCTAAAAAGTTGATAAAAATATTTCTGGAAAGTCAATGTTTCAAAAGCAAATGCATAGCCACTTTGCATTGATGAGGAAAAACAAAGTTTCTGGGCAAGAAGATATAGATGGAATACATTTATTCCATCAATAACTACATATGTTCTTTCATTAGGGCCATTTTTTTTTTTTTTTTGGTCTCGTTGCCAGCTGTTATGTTGTAAGGGGTGGAGGCTTAGTTATTCACCAGGGAGAGGCAACTCACATTGTTGCCTCGTGGCACTATATGTGAGGGAGGCATCAGAGAGGGAACAATGCCACTTGCTCAGCTCTGAGAAGTGTTGAGACACCAGTCTTATATAGGGCACAAGTTTTATTCCATTAGCTAGTTCCTTACCAGATAGTAGAGCATTTCTAAACAAAAATATATTTTTTTAATCCCTAGGTATCGGGTTGGGGACGAGTATGCCAGACTGCAGATGATAAGCAATTTTGATTCTCAATACTGGCTATATTCATTTTCTATTGCAATGCAATGAATTACCACAATCTTACTTAGAACATCACATATGATCTCAGTTCCTGTAGGTCAGGTCTCATCAGGCTGAAATCAAGGTTTTGGCAGGATCCAGTTTCTTGTGGGTGTAGGTCTGAAGTTCACATTTCCTTTTTGGTTATTGGTAAGGACTGCTCTCAGCTCTCAGAGGCTGCTCTAGGTCCTTGTCACAGCATAGTTCACACATGGTTATTTGCTTATTGAAGGGAAACAGGAATATCTTCTGGTTCAATCTCTCTGATTTAAGTGCTCACCTGATTTGGTCTGGTCCACCTATAATAACCTCTAATTTAAGGTCAACTGATTACAGACTTAATTACTCCTGAAAAGTCTCTTGACAGAAATGCCTAGATTAGTGATTTATTGACTAATTGGAAGGTGAGTGCATTAAGGAGTGGGAATTTTGTGGGCTGAGGCATCTGAGATTCTGCCCATCACAACAGTCCCAACTCTATAACTTTTACCCCTCTGAATCATGTGAATTCACCCTTCTTCCCCCAAACCATTGAGAAACACCAATATAGCATGAAATCTACAGGGTCTGGCACAAATAATGCCCTTTTTTATTACAAAATCATAAGCATGTAATTCTGCAACATAACAATGTCACACTCAAGCACATCATATGACATTTTAGGTGAAATGTTCAAATTAACTATAAATTATTATACCCGTATTATTACCCTACCAACAACACTCAAGCAGGCATTAATTCTGTGGGACCCTGTATTTATCTGAATTTTATACACACATTTATAGCTTTGTCTAATTACAAAAATGTATAGTGAGAAAATTCCAAATAATACAGAGATGTCTTATGCAGAGTGTAAGTCACGCATAATGCCATTACAACCAATACCCATTGTTGGATTTGGCATAGATACAACCTAATCTTTTCAGTACATTTATTAACATAACATATGTAAAACACAAATACATTTATTTACTTTAGATCTCCTAGAGTAGGTCAAATCATCCAAGTATAGAACCTTACCACACTGTATCCTTTTTCTTCATATTAGTTTGGCCCTTACTTGAAATTTGAAAAAATTAATCTCTTTTAATAGACTGAATTTTGTGATGGAATTACCTAGGTCTGTTTGTGCTTACCATCATATTCCCAGAGAATAATTGTTGAACAAATGAATAAATGAACAAAACAGTACAACAAGTTACTTTTGACCCTTGATCTACTTAACTATTCATTCATATTTAATGAGAGCCCACTACATGCAAGGAACCATTCTAGGTGTTGAATCTTGGACATCTTTTGAGGCTGCTACATATATTATGTGCCACATTTATTTGGTCAGTGTACTCTTAGTGGGCATTTATGGATACTAATTAAAGTGGTTTTGAGAATACAAAGCCCTGATTTGTCACTGAAAAGATGAAAAAAAAAAAACAAAGAACATTTACAGATAAATTTTCATAAGGTGCCCCCACCCCTTAGCCCTCCAAAAGAGCACCAGTCAGGTAGGATAAAGGTCTTGTTTAAGTTAAGATATTTACTTATTTTGTATCTCATCTCCCTGTGACTGAGTTTCTGACCCATCTGCTTGCTGTGAGAATTTGCTTCTTAAGTGTATATATCCTAACAGAATATAACACTTAACCTTGAAGACAGGATTACCACAAAGCCTATTTTTTAGGTTTGCTGTGAGAAACTGAATGTACTTATTACACCATAGAAAACTGCATTTCTTAGAATGTTTGTTTTAAGAAATTGGGCTTATTCACCCTGGCCAGGTGGCTCAGTTGGTTGGAACATCATCATGTACACCAAAAGGTTGTGGGTTTGATTCCAGTTCAGGGTACATACCTAAGTTGTGGGTTCGATTCCTGGTCAGGCATGTAAGGGAGGCAAATTATAGACATTTCTATCTCACATCAATGTCTCTCTCTAAAATCCATAAAAACATACCCTCAGGTGAGGATTAAAAAAAAAGAAAGAAATTGGACTTATTTATATAGGTTAGTAACAATCATTAATATGCCAGTATATAATTCACTATCTTTTTTTTTGTTTAAGATTTCACTTATTTATTTTTAGAGAGGAAGGGAGGGAGACAGGGAGAGAAACATCAATGTGAGAGAGAAACACTGATTGATTGCCTCTCCTATATGCCCCAACTGGAGACTGAATCTGCAGCCCAGACATGTATCCCGACTGGGAATAGAACCAGCCACCCCTTGCTTTGCAGAACAACACCCAGCCAACTGAGCCACACTGGTCAGGACTAACTCAACATCTTGAGCTCATTAACTTTATGGTGTAACTATATCATTTCATAATTGACTGACATACATTCACTTGCTTCTCAGAGCATACCAAAACCCTTTGTCCTTGCTTTCTCCCTATAGGCAGGCCTGTTTGACCAAAATAAATACCATGATTCTAAAACACAATGCAGGGCATGTTTCTGTTTCAATAAAACAAACCTTTTCTGAGCACTTCTAAATGCCGGGCACATTGCTGAGCACCTTTGCATACACCATCTTATTCTACTTCTTGACAACAGCCATGATAGGTACAAGGATTATTCCTGTCTTACAGATGAGGTTGAGTAGCTTCCCTAACAAAACACCACTAGCTATGAAAAGCTATTTGTCTGGAGAATTGAAAGCTCTGGGTGAAGGACAGTCAAAATAACAACTTTCAAATATCTGACTGGATTCTTTAATGGTAGAGTGATTAGCATATTGGGTCATAGTACCAAGGACGTAAGGACCAATAGATACAAGTTACAAAGTGGATATTCAAGATGAAACAGGCTTTTCTGGATATAATGCAATGTAATACTTGGAGAATAAATTCGACCACTGGATGGAAGTTGAAATGGGTGGCCTATGAGGGCATCTATCAACTCTGAGTCCACCATTCTCTTCCTCTTCTGTATTTCTCACTTCTCAACCCATCACCCTCTCTCTTCTTCTACCTGGACCTATACACTGGTGCATTCTTCCTTTGTTTCCATTCAACAAATATTTGCTGACCTGTACCATCCATCATAGTAGCCATCGGCGGCTATCTAAGTTTATTAAAATTAAGCAAAATAAAAATTGCAGTTCCCAAGTTGTACTAACCACATTTCAAGTGCTTAATAACCACATGTGCCTAGTGGCTACCCCATTGGAAAGTTCTGCTGGACAGTACTGTTTCAAACAGCTGAGGTAGTGATGGTAGCCACGTGAATGAAAAAATCCCGAGTTCTTGACCTTAAGGAGCTTATAGCCTAGAGGAGGAAAAAGAGACACCCAGTATGTATTACTTCTTAAGAGCTAACAATTATTGAGTTTTTGCTGCAAATTGGGCAGTGTGCTAAGTACTTTCTGTGACCATTTGGATGCATCCTCCTAACGCCAAAAAATAGGTGCCATCATTATACTCTTTTTACAGAAAGAGTAACAAGTTAAATTAATTTGCTCAACGTATATGGATTATTTTTATAGGGTCTCATGACCGAGGGTATGTATGTGTGGGGCCACAAAATAAGGTGAGGATCCGTTTGGGGATCTTAAGGGAAGGGTAGAAGTGCAGAAGGATTAACAACCAAGTCTGTCTCTTGACCATGCTTGTTCAACATGTAGGCCATCGATTATCAACATCAGAATTTCCAGGGTAAGCATTAAAAGTCCTGACTCCTAGCACCCCTTTAGGAGCTCTGTGGGAGGGCCCAGGGAATCCACATTTTAAACAAGCTCCCGACTCTGCCCCATAAATTCTTTCCTGTTCACTGGATGACGTTTCAGCACCACAGGCCCACACTACCAGGTCCCCTTTTATTGCGCTTTTCCCAGGCTGCCCCACACTTGCCACCTGACTACGAACGAACGAATGAACGTTGGAAGCCGAGCTGGGTGATTCAGGCAGGCCTCTCGGAGCCTCTTTATCTGGCGTAAAATGGAGAGCTCCGCGGGTCTGAGGCGCAACAGTCAACTGGCGCAAAGAAGGACTTCAATTACGCGGCCCCCCGAGGGGCCTCCAGAGTCCCGCCCCTCTTGGCTTGCCTGGCCTGCCTACCTTCGCAGATCTGCTCCCACAGGTTCTTCCCTGGCGGTTCTGCAACCTTCCCCGGGGAAAGGGGCCGCTCGGGGGACGTGGGGCACACAGTGGGCACTGGTGTCCTGGTGGTGACAGACAACTCTAAAGAGTAGGCCTCGCGTTGCCCTGAGAAGCTGTTCACCCGCCCCAGGGCCGCCATGGGACCGGTTTCCACGGCAACCACCCTTTGCCCCGGCCACGACCCGGAAGAAGCAGGACCTCTCCAACGGCGGGCCAGCCTCTCGAAGTTGATATCCGGGTCACTGGAGCGGGTTTTCTGTTCTAGTCGGAGAAGTTTGATATGCAGGTGAGAGCGGAAGATACAACGTTAGAAGGGCGGAGAGGGGTCTGGAGATAGGGCCTGGGGACTTAGACAATGAACAGAGTGAAAAGCAGACGACCTGCGTCCTCTGTTTCACGCTGCCACCCTCTTTCTCTAGTCTATGGTATGCTCCTCATCCTGGCTTGAGGCCGCCGCCTTCAGGAAGTTTTCCCCCCTAGTAGCCAGGTGCTAGTTGGGTTCTTCCCAGTGTGTTTGTGTAGAAGCTTTGGCTCCGTAGAGCCTTTGAGGGACCAGCCTTGCCTCCTGGGTCCCTTGCTTCCTGCTAGTGATCCTGTGGTGGGAGTGGGGTCTTGGTGCTCTTGTGCAGAACCAAGGCTCCAAATCTCGGCCTCCGTTCCAACCGCTTTTTTTATCACTTGCAGGCTTTGGGACCCAGGGCAAGTGAGTTCAAGTTTCTAAGCCTCAGTTTGCAAGTCTTTGAGATGGGGTAGTCATGCCAGCCCTCATGAGGCTGCCACGACAATTTGGTTGGGTTCACTTTGTGTTGTTGAAGGAGTGAATACATTTGGGGTCGCAGGGTTGAAGAGGATCTTCATTGCTAAAGAGGATGGATGCTACAGTGTTCTGAATGACAGAGATGGGGAGAGAAGGTGATTAAGTTGACAACAATCTTCCCCTAGTTTATTTTATTTTATTTTGTCTTCTTTTTTTTTTTTCCAAATCTGGTCTGTTGACCACTCTCCATCTGAGGCACTCTGTGCTCCCTTGACTCCACCCTCTCCAGGTTTGCACCTTCTCCCTCTCTTTTGCCATCCCCTCTTTCTCTGCCCACCCACTTAAATGTCTACTTTCTAAGGCTCTGTTTCAGACTGCTTCTGTCCAACGCTTAATTACCATCCATATATTCCAAAGTTTATTTTGCCCATGGCAGCCTAATCACCTCTGAACCTCACACCCATATATCCACCTGTCTATGGAACTTCTCCACTTAAATATCTCAAAGCATCTGTTCAAACCAGCATACCTCCAGCCTCCCACCACCACCTTCAGTTCCTTTGTCTCAGGGATTAGTGCCAACATCCTGCAGTTGCCCACGGTGGAAAACTGTTTTTCAGAAAGTTTCCTGACAGCTGTTAGTCTAGGTTAGAAGACCTCCATTATCCTGACATTATCTCTGTGTTTGCTTTTATCACCTGTATCATCTATGTTATTACACCTCTTTCCCTCCCACATCTACTTGCTTTTTGATGGCAGGTGTTTTATCTCCTTAATCTTTGTATCTTTTGACACCTATATGTCTGGTACAGAGTTAGGCTCTGGGAGTACAAGCAGACCTTGTTTGACTGTGCTTCACTTTATTGCATTTCACTGGTGTTGTGTTTTTACAAATGGAAGACAACCCTCCACCAGCCAAAAGATTGCTATTTGCTGTATTGTGATACTCACTTTATTATGGTGGTCTGGAACTGAACCCACAAAAGTCTGCCTCTACAGCAGAAAACAAGGCATGAGTGAATGAGTGGGTGGTCCTTTGACTCTCCAGGAGCAATTATGAATGAACTTGAGCTCTACCTCAGGCCTGGCCTGGTTCTTTGAAGCTGCTAAGAGTGAAGCAGGTCTGATGCTGAAGAGAACTCCAAGATGGAGAAGCTCCTGATCTTTCCCTCCCACTGTGTAAACCTTCGTTAGAGGATGTTTGTTTCTGGTTTCCCTGAGTGTCTCCATGTCATCCAGGGAGCAACAGAAACTGGGATGGTAACTAGGGTGAGAGAAATAGTCCAGCTGGAAACTGAAGTGTATTGAGGGCTCCAGCCTCTTCTTACAGGTGCATCTCTGACATTTCCCCCCCCCCCCCCCCGCAAAATAAGTAAGTAAAAGGCTGGGCACTCTAGGTTGCTATGTGTTGTCTTCAATCATTAAATGTTAGCAGTTTATTTGAAAATTTAAAAAGGCAGGCTGGATGTCCTCCTCCTTGCTCCTCCACACCTACCTCTGATTTAGTTCAACTCTTCTTTTGTGGATGGGGAAAGTAAGGCCTGGAGAAGCCAGCAGCTATGAGGCAAGAATGTCAGAGAGTCACCACTTGAACCCAGGTGTTATGTGCTCTAGCTGGGGCTCCTTTCACCATACTTCTCTACTGGTCTTATTATTAGCCACATGGGGAAGTAATTAGGAGAATAAGTCACTCGAGTGCAGGTTGGGGGAATTAATTTCTAGACAAAGCAGAACTGTTTAGATGAACAGACTTATGGGTTAATTGTGCCACAGTCACTGCATTGGTGGGAATCAGCAAGAAGGACTGACATTAGGAATCCTGTACTCTGCATCCAGTATAATGTGAGTCCCTGGAGGGCAGTGCCTGGTCTGTCTGGTTTGATTGCAGTTGTACTCATAGGGTAGGCAGTTGATAAATTTCTATAGAATGAGTAAGAGGGTTAGGAAAAGGAGTCAACAATGTAGCAAGCACTTTCCATGGATTATCTCAATTTATTCTTTCCAACAGCCCTTTGAGAAGTGGTGTTTTCCCACATTTTCCAGATGGGGAAATTAAGGCTCAAGGAGAATAGGCGAGTGATTTAAGGTAAGGTAGCAGTTTGGATTTCAACCTGGGGCTGTCTGAATGTTAGCTTCATTCTGTGTCTTTGATCATATTTCCCTTTGCTCCTGTGGAATCATGCTTGTTTTCCCAGACCATCCACTCAAAGAAACATGACTCTTGGCAATACCTAGTTGAATTGTACACAACATGGTTTGGTGTAGGAATGACTTGTACCCTTTATTTATTTTATTTTATTTTTTAGGTATGATCACCAAGACCCACAAAGGAGACCTGAACCTTAGGCTTCCAGAGAAAAACAAGAAGAAGAAGAAGGTAGTAATCAGAGAACCAGAGACTCAGTACTCAGTTGTAAACAGAAACAGTTATTTTACTGAAGTCTTTCCCACAAGAGCCATATCACCCATGAAGAGTGTGATCCAAGGGCAGGTATCTGAGATGCCTCTAGTGAAGAAAATAAAGAAGAAAAAGAAGGGCCATAGCACCTGCTGTGAGGAGCACCTAGAACTTGAGACCATGTTACGTGCCAGGTGGACAGAGAAGTCTTCCAGCCCCAGGGCACAGGCTTTTGGTCCATCTGAGCTCCTAAGTGGGGAAAAGAAAAAGAAGAGGAAGTCCTTTTGGCCTCTGGCCACATCCCCTGATTTGAGGATGAAGACCTTCCTGGACCCCAGACAGAGAGAGGAAGTGACCAGAGTTGGCAAGAAGCTCAAAATACACAAGAAGGAAGAAAAAGCCCAGGAAACCGCAGCCTTCTCAGTTGGGGACACTTGGTTCAGCAAGGCCAGGAATCTGCATGCTTGCTCATTGGGAAAGGATGACCAGGAAGAGGCAGCTTTGGGGCAGAAAAGGAAGCAGGGGAGCCCCAGGGAACACAACATGAAGATGAAGAAGAAGAAAATCCACCAGGAGGGAGACACCCACCTTGGCCACCCCAAGCCCTCTAGGTCTATGGAGAGCAGCCCTAGGAAAGGAAGTAAAAAGAAGCCAGTCAAAGTTGAGGCTTCAGAATACATCCCAATAGGAGATGGCCTCAAGTCCCCTGTGAAGAAGAAAAGAAAGTCCAATAAAAAGGCAGGACAGCTAGGCATTGAGGAGCCAGCTCTGAAGAGAAAAAGAACAAAGAAGAAGAAAGAGAACAAAGTATCAGGAGAAACTTGGGAGGAAGTAGGTTGTCCTTCAGAAGTTAACTCTGCTTTGGGAGAATAAGGGTGGAAGTTGGGAACGTATGAATGTGTACATGTGCACTCATGGGCAACTCAACTTTTCAGCTGAAAGAACTCTTTAAACCAACTTAAGCCAGAAACGGGATTTATTGACACATGTGTAACTTATTGAGGGGTGGGTCTGGCACAGGAGGAAAGGGCTCAGTTAATACTGACTGAAGAGCAAATCTGGACTTGGATCACCAAGGTGTCTATGTGGCCTGTGCTCACCTCTACCAGATGCAGTTGGGGATTATAGGGACTCTCACAAGATGTAGTTATGCATCCAGGATTTCTCCCAGCTCTACCCTGGTCCACCATTAGACTGGATTTCACCAATTTCCTCCTTTATTCAGAAACTTTTTGGGGTTTAGGAGGAACACCAGAGGTTTTAGAGCCCAACTCCCATCAGAATCTAGAATCCCTTCTGCCAAGAACCCAGTGTAAGAGAGTCAGTTCCCCTCTGCTTAACATCTGTGACAGGGACTCAACCTACCAGAGCAGCCCCTGAAATGTATACATGTCTTCAAGGTCTTCCCAGATTATGTTAGAGAACAGAGCCTCTGGGGATAAGTGAAATGTGGCAGTTGTCATTACTGAAGGGAAAGTGGCCACCCTAAGGCTTTACCATCAGAGAGTCCCTCAATGCCTGAAGCCAGTGAGAGTGTGGCCCATGTAAACATGCACGGTCAGGGCAGGCGCAGAGAGGATGTCCCATGACAGCTGAGATATGTTAGGGGCCTTGGTCATTTGTGCAAATAGAGCAGCAGGTACAGAGTCCCTGGGAAGAGCAAAGAGGCTGGGGAGGGGAGAACTGGGTGACAGTGACAGAGAACCATAGAGACCACAGAAGTCTGGATTTTTTGTAAGCAAGATGAGAGCCCTAGGAGTGTTTTAGAAAGTGAGGTGATGGTCTGATTGAGGGTTTTGGGTTTTTTGGTTTTTTTTAGATATAATTAACATTAAATTGTATACATTTAAGGTGTATAGTGTATTCTGATTAAATTTTTGAAGCTCACCTGAGCTCCTTGTGGAATGGGAGGGTGAGGAAGCAGGAGTTAGAGACCCACAGTTTTCCAGGCAGGAGAGAAAGCAGTGACTAGGGAATGCAGTTGAGCAGTGTGGAGAATAAAACTGGGTAGGTTTGGGTTTGCTGGCAGTCCTGTTCCCCACACCCATCAGAGGCCTGGGCCCACCTCTACATTCTTGGTCCTTGCCGTCTTGTCCCCAGCCCTCACCTCTACTATCAGTGGAACCATATGTTTTCCTCTTTGCTGGTTTGGCATCACCCTGGGAGGTCAGATGACTAGTGGTGGGAAAGGTTATGCCCTTAGCCTGAATCAGGAGACTTGAGTTAGTGTCAGCCCTACCTCTGAGCTGTAGGGGTGACCTAATGATAGTCATTTCACCTCTCTGAACCTTAGTTTCTTCATCTGTCAAATAGGTGAGTGCCACAGTTTTAAGGAGAATCATGGAAGAGAAAGGACGTCAAATATTCTATAGGTGACAGAGTTTGGGGTGCTGCTAGGTTCTTGGGTCTTTTCGGGACTTTGTCATGATCTTACCCTACAGGGCTGCTTGGGCAGAGGGCCTATGCTTGACTTTTGCTCCCTTTGCTCTCCTGTGTAGGAGCCTGACACAGACTTAGAGGTGGTGTTGGAAAAGAAAGGCAACATGGATGAGGCACACATAGACCAGGTATGGCCCAGGTCCTCATGCCCCTCACATGTGTCTTGCTGTTCCCCTCCTATGAAGCCACAAGATCCTGGTCTCAGAAGGGCCCAGGACTCCAAAAGCTACCAGTCCAGATTCTGTGGTGCATCTCCCATGGCAGAGAATTCTGTGGCCTACTCCACTTCATGGTGGGAGAGTCCTTCACTGCCATGTTGTTGGCTGAGGGACCATCGGGTTATTTAAGAACCTCAGGCTGAGGCTCTCCTTCCTGTAACCACTGCACTGGGGAGAAGGGTGCATGTTCCCAAGACCTGAAGCCAGGGCAGGGAACACATGCTCAACCAGGCCCACATGTTATCACCTCCTGGCTTCAATTCAGGAGTATTTAGAGAAGTGGTTCTGTTGTGGGCTAGCTTCTATTTCTGTCCAGCCCAGATCCCCCAGTAAGTGCTTTCTGTATGGAAGCTGGACTTTCTAGAATTGGGGTACTTTCACAACCCTGGACCCCAAGACCTGGTAGGACAGTGTGTTAACTACATAGACTTGGCTGTAGGTCATTACTAATGAGGTGACCTAGGGTAGTCACTAACCTTACTTAACCTCATACAGGTCAAAACCAAACCGGGTTATGTTGTGAGATATTCAGCAGGGATCTACCTCATACTTATACATTTAGAAAAATTTTTTATTCTTTATTATATTACAGTTGTCCAAATTTTTTTCCCTTTTGCCCCCTTCCACCCAGCCCAACCCTCTTACCCAGAGTCAATCCTTTCTCCATTGTCCATGTTCATAGGTCATTCATATAGGTACTTTGACCTTCCCCTTCCTTCCACCATTCCCCAACCCCTCCCCACTCTTTCCCTCCTACAGCTATCAGTCTGCTCTATGTTCCCATGTCTCTGGTTCTGTTTTTCTTGTAAGTTTATTTTGTTCATTCCAGTTATAAGTGAGATTATACGGTATTTCTCTTTGGCTGACTGGTTTATTTCACTTAGCATAACAGTCACCAGTTCCATCCATGCTGTCCGAACAGGTAGGACTTCTTTCTTTCTGCTGCATAGTATTCCATTGTGTAGATGAACCACAGTTTTGTAATTCACTCATCTACTGATGGGCACTTGGGCTGTTTCCAACATGTTGTTGTTGTTGTTTTTAACTTTATTTATTTATTCCTAGAGAGTGGAAGAGAGGAAGAGAAACATCAATGTGTAGCTTCCTCTCAGGTGGCTCCCACTGGGGACCTGGTCCACAACCCAGGCACATGCCCTGACTGGGAATCAAACACTGCAACCATTTGGTTTACAACCTACACTCAATCCACTGAGCTATGCCAGCCAGGGCCAACACTTTGCTATTGTAAATAGTGCTGCTATGAACATAGGAGTGCATGCATTCTTTTAAATTGGTGTTTCAGGATTCATAGGGTATATTCCAGGGAACTTTCATAAGGCAGTTCCATTTTTAATTTTTTGTACAGTGGCTGCAGCAGTCTGCATTCCCACCAACAGTGCAGTAGGTTTCCATTTTCTCCACATCCTTATCAGCACTTACTGTTTGTTGATTTATTAATGACAGCCATTCTGATAGGTGTGAGGTGATAGCTCATTATGGTTTTAATTTGCATCTCTCTGATTGCTAGTGATGTTGAGCATCTTTTTATGTCTGTGGGCCATCTGTACGTCCTCCTTGGAGAAGTGTCTGTTCAAGGCCTTTGCTCATTTTTTAATTTGGGTTGTTTGTTTTTCTGGCATTGAGTCATATTCTTTATACATTCTGGAAATTAAACCATTATCCAATGTGTTGTTGGCAAATATGTTCTCCCATACAGTTGGTTCCCTTTTCATTTTAATGATGGTTTCTTTAGCTGTGTGAAAAGTTTTTAATTTGATGTATTCCCATTTATTTTTTTTTTCCTTTATTTTCCTTTCCTAGGAGATATGGCAGTGAAAATATTGCCACATGGGATTTCTGAAATTTTACTGCCTATGTTTTCTGCTAGGAATTTTATGGTATCACAACTTACATTTAAGTCCTTTATCCATTTTGGGTTTATTCTGGTGTATGGTGTAAGTTAGTGGTCTAGTTTCATGTTTTTGCATGTGCCAGTCCAGTTCTCCCAACACTATTTAGTAAAGAGACTGTTTTTACTCCATTGTATGCTCATGCCCCCTTTGTCAAATATTAATTGAACATAAAAACATGGGTTTATTTCTGGGCTCTCTACTCAGTTCCATTGATCTATGTGTGTGTTCTTATACCAGTATCAGACTGTCTGGATTACACCGGTCTTGTAGTGTAGTTTAATATCAAGTATTGTGACCTTCCTATTTTATTCTTTCTCTGGATTCCTGAGGCCATTTGGGGTCTTTTCTGGTTCTCTATAAATTTTTGGAATATTCTGATCTGTGAAATATAACATTGATATTTTAAAAGGCATTGTGTTGAACCTGTATATTGCTTTGGGTAGTGTGGACATTTTAATGATGTTAATTCTTCCAATCCATGAACATAGTATATGCTTCCATTTATTTGTATCTTCCTCAATTTCTTTCTTCAGTGTTCTGTAGTTTTCCAAGTACGGATCTTTCATTTCATTGGTTAAATTTATGTCTAGGTACTTTATTTTTCTTGTTACTTTAGTAAATGGGATTTTTTTTCATAGTTTCTCTTTCTGATAATTCATCTTGTTGGTATACAAGATGCCATCAATTTCTGACTATTGAATTTGTATCCTGCTATTTTGCCAAATTCACTTATTAGGTCAAGTAGTTTTTTGGTGAACACTATAGGGTTTCCTGTTTACACTATCATGTTGTCTGCGATAATAACAGTTTTACTTCCTCCTTTCCTATTTGGATGCCTTTGATTTCTTTTTTGTATAATCACCGTGGCTAGAACTTCCAGCACTATGTTGGATAGAAGTGGTCAAAGCAAGCACCCTTGTCTTGTTCCTGATATTAAGGGAAACACTTTTAGTTTTGCCCATGGAGTACGATGTTGGCAGTAGGTTTCTCTTATATGGCCTTTATGATGTTGTGGTGTGCTTCCCTCTCTTCCTACTTTGCTGAGTGTTTTTATCATAAATGGCTGCTGGATTTTGTCAAATACTTTTTCAGCATCCATTGATATGATCATGTGATTTTGTCTTTCATTTTGTTCATGCGATGTATTACATTTATTGATTTGTGAATGTTATACCATCCTTGCATCCTTGGGATAAAACCCACTTAAGCATAGTATATGATCTGTTTAATGTATTGCTGGATCCAGATTGCCAATATTTTGTTGAGAATTTTAGCATCTGTGTTCATTAGAGATATTGGCCTGTAATTTTCTTTCTTTGTTGTGTGTTTACCTTGTTTTAGAATTAAGGTGATACTGATCTCCTAAATAAGAGTTTGGAGTCTTCCCTCTTCTTAAATTATTTGTCATACTTTGAGAAGGATAGGAGTTAGTTCTTCTTTAAATGTTTGGTAAAATTCACTTGTGAAGCCATCTGGTCCAGGGCTTTTGTGTGCCGGGGTTTTTCTGAGTACCGCTTCAGTTTCCCTAATTGTTATCAGTCCATTCAGACTTTCTGCTGCTTCTTGAATCAGTTTTGGGAAATTGCATATTTTCAGAAATATGTCCGTTTTGTTTAGGTTGTCCAGTTTCTTGGCATGTAGCTCACAATACTTTCTTATAATCCTTTGTATTTCTGTGGTATCTATTGTTATTTCCCCTCTTTCATTTCTGATTGTATTTATTTGGGTCTTCCCCCTTTTTTTTTTCTTTTTTTTTGATGAGTCTGGTTAAAAGTTTGTCTATTTTGTTTATCTTGTCAAAGAACGAGCTCCTGGATTTATAGATTTGGGTTTTTTTGTTTTTTTTTTAAATTCTCTATGTCACCTAATTCTGCTCTGATCTTGATTATTTCCTTCTACTTGCTCTGGGCTTTGTTTGTTGTTGTTCCTGTTTTCTTTTTTATGTAGGGTTAGGTTTTTTGAGATTTTTCTATCTTCTTTAGGTAGGCCTGTGCTGCTGTAAACTTCCTTCTCAGGACTGTCTTTGCTGTGTCCCATAGGTTTTGGGTTGTTTTGTGTTCATATTCATTTGTACACTTTTTTATTTCTTCCTTGATCTCAGTGTTAACCCATTCATTATTTAATAGCATGTTATTCAGGCTCCATGTATTTGACTGTTTTTGAGGTTTTTCTTGGGGTTGGTTTCTAGTTTCTAGCCATTGTGATCCAAGATGCTTGATGTGATTTCAATTTTCTTGTATTTGTTAAGGCTTGTTTTATGTCCTACCATATGGTTTATCTTCAAAAATAATCCATGTGTGTTTGAAAATAATGTGTACTTTCCTTATTTGGAGTGTTCTATAAATGTGAAGTTCATTTGATCTTGAGTGTTTTCCAGTGCCATACTATGCATGTTGATTTTTTGGAAGATCTATCCCGTTGTTGACAGTGGGGTGTTAAAATCCCCTACAATGACTGTATTGCTGCCAATCTCCTTCTTAAAGTCCTCCAAGATTTTCTTTATGTATGTAGGTGCTCCTATGTTGGGTGCATATATGTTTACAAGGGTTATATCCTTATGTTGGACTCCTCCCTTAAGTATTATATAGTGACATTGTTTGACTCTTGTTATGGCTTTTATTTTAAAGCCTATTATATCTGATGCAAGTATTGCTACTCCAGCTTTTTTTTCATGTCCATTTGCTTGGAATATTTATTTCCACTCCTTCACTTTCAGCCTGTGTAGATCTTCTGTTCTGAGGTAGGACTTCTGTAGACAGCATATGTATGGGTCATGTTTTCTTATCCACTCAGCTACCCTATGCCCTTTGATTGTAGCATTTAATTCATTTACATTTAAGGTTATTATTGTAGGTACTTGTTCAGTGCCATTGTTTCCTTTGGGGCCTGTTTTCCTTTGTCTCTCTATTTCTTCTTCTTAAAGTAGCCCCTTTAGCATTTCTTGCAGTGCTGGCTTGGTGGAAATGTACTCTTTTAGCCTTCTTTTGTCTGGGAATC